ACAGCATACAAATCAACAAGTGTACTGTGCTCTCAAGTCAGCAGAAAAAGTTCAGGAGTGCCACAGAAAAGTCGCAGCTTATGTAGTGAAAAGGCTGCATCCTTTCTCTGATATTGATGTGTTGACATTCAGGCAAACAAAGATAATAGAGCCTATCAGTCTGATTTTTCTCAACAAGAACTGTTTTTATACAGCAAGTTTTTATACCTGTTAGACCACACCAGGGTTTGAGTTTTGTATATGTAGTAATCTGTTTGGTTGAAATTATGCAAGTGCATAAGCACCATGAATAGACATTCATACTTCTCTTTTGTCAACACTTAAATGGGCAGCAGCTGCCTGAACTGTAAGTTAATTGCTTGTAGACTGTTGCCATGTTGCCACTTCAGCAGATTTAAGTGTTACAGTACAATGGATAAACATGAACAGATTATTATTTAATAGTATCATTTACCAGTAGCAGCCAAATCAAACTGAAAGATTTAAATTTAAAAGCACAAACCATCTGTATGTTTGGTTTTATTTTTAAAGTAAGACTCCATACCCAGTAACAGAGCTCAGTGAGCGGCTCTACTGTAACCTGATGAGATGAAGTTTTATCAAAAAGCCTTAATTTCTCTTTCCTACTGGTAGATTTTTTTTCTCCAATACCCTAGTAGTATGTCTCCTCTCAGAACATGTATTCATCACAGTACAGAACAGTATCTAAAACAGTTCTGTCCATTTCTACACTGTGGCTCCACAGCAAATCTAAATGTTACTTAGGGTTGATTTTCTGGAAAGTCCTAGAAAGGCCCTACCAGTGTCTGAACCTAACAGAGCATCACGGGACAGACCTAAAAAATGGCTGTGCACTAACAGTCTCCATCTAATCTGGCTGAGCTTGAACCATTCTACCAAGAAGAAGAGGAGGACCTCCAAGAGAAAGGTGTGCCAAGCTTGTAAGATCATTCCAAATGAAGCTTGAGGCTGCCATTGCTGCCAAAAGTGCTTTAACCGAGCACTAAGTGAAAGGTGTTAATACTGATGTGAATGGGATCTTTCCCAATAAATTTAGACAGCACTCCAAGAACGCTGCTTTTGCTCCGTCATTGTGAAGTATTGTGTGTAGAAAAATGAGAAAGAATGTGTCCATTGTACGATGAGTCTGAAGCTGTCTGGTTACTTTAAGGTCCAGGAGGACTACTTTTGCAGCCCAGTGTAGGTCATTAAAGTTGCTGTTCTTGAACTTACCCGGATCCAGAATCTTGTCTGCTTTGTTTCCATCCAACATCGATCCGTGATCTCGATCATCTGTAGGGGAAACCCAAAGTTTACTTGGAAGAAATTTTACATTCTTGAAAACCTACGATTATGTAAACCAAATGAAGCAAAACAAGAAAGTGCAAATCTAACATTATCACACATTTAAGTTTTATCCAACAAAAAATAACAAATTTTGTACGAGAGGCATGCCTCACCTGTACCTGTCGAGTGGCCCATGTGCATCATAGAGTTCATTTGATCAGGACTGGCTGTGATGGGTACATTGGCCTCGGCTGGAATATGCTCAAACAGCTCTTTGGAGCCAGTCTCCATGCAGTTCATGTAGGGAATAGCATATTTGCTATCCATATAATACATTATGTAGAAGTTGCACATTTCATCATCAGAGGTACCCCTGCAGACAAAAAAATACCTTGGGATGAATCCTTAGTCACTGTATCACATGATGTTTATGTAAACAATGAAGAGCAGCCCTATAGCTGTAACACCTTCTTAAAACTTCCCCGTATACAGTGCCATGGTGATATTCACTGAAAGTTTATTGTAAACAGGTAAATGACATGCCTATTAAATACAATACAGTTCTTATATACACACAATACACACTCTCGTAGACTGAACTCCTTGTAATCCCAGCTGGTCCTTTTGTTCTGTGTTACAGCAGATTCCAGTTCTGCTCTGCATCACTCTAACCAATAAAATCTACTTGAAATCCTGGTGAGTGATCTGTCATGTCATTTTTCACGATAAACATATCAGGTCCTACTAATGTGAAGACAATGGACATCAAATAAATGGAGAATGAAGTGATGAGGCCATTTTTCTAGAACTTATCTTTGACCTTTTGCAGCTGGGCTTGTACCCTATTTGAATGTACAAACATGCCAAATAAAGTAGTAAATGAAAATGTAAAAACTAATTTAAACTCTTAACTTTGCAATTGCTCTCAAGACTCATACAGCTGGACAGCAAGAACAAAGAAACACGAGGTGTGGCAGAGAACACACCATTACTGGAAGAAAACCATAATGCCTGTCTCATCTGTAGCCCCTTTCAGACATGGGATATGGAACATGGCTGGCTTCGTCAATCAGTTAAAGTGATGGCATTTTTATCCTTTAAACGTAGGTCACTTGTCCATTCCTCACTGCTTCATGCAGAGTAATCTACAATTTAGGGCAAATATTGGCGCTGAAATCCTGCCCTAAAACACTTATCTATCTGTTAATGTGACAGCTCAGTTCAGACTTGTGCCATGGTGAAAGTGATATGGAAATGCTACCAGGTTCAACCTTGTAAAATTGCCAGCGCGACTTCTTCAGAAACGTGTCCAGTGTACACATTCAGATATCAAGTTGATGCGTTCAGTTGCTGTCAGGTTAATAAAACAAGTTCATGTCTGAAAGGGGCTTTGGATACATGCCTGTAAGCTGTACTCAATACAAACACAAGTGCAAACAAGAGTTCATCTATTATTCAAGCTGTCTAAGTAGAACCTAGTATCAACTCATATAACTAGTATAAATAGAAAATTAAAAGTCACTTCTGAATTATAGCTAATCACAAATGCAGTGTCAACAAGTAAAAGCTGATGAGCTCACTCACTCACCCTATGTAAGTTTTGGAGGTTCTACCCTCTCCAGTAAACATACATCTGGCCGCAACGGTGTCACCATACTTCACATCCACGTCTTTGTTAGCTGGATAGAAAGCCTGCAGAGAAATCAAATTCACTGGTGAGCAATGAGCAAATCACTTCAAATGGAATAACTGTTGTGATCAATATATATTCTCAGTTGAATTTGGATGTATTAGTCACAATACAGAGTACTCTGTACATCTGAGCTGGTATTTGATACATTAGTAAAGATCTGGGAATATATTTGAGAAGTGTATTTAGATGAATAGAGACATGCTGATATGGGCCCCTGTAGTTGTAAGTCATGTGTTTCTGTTGTCACATATTGGCAGTATAAGAGGTTTAGAATCCCACAGAGTGGTTACTGGTTTACTCACAGACTAATCCCACTAAAATATGAACTGTTCTGTACTGTGTTTTAATGTTCTGTCCACAGACTACTTGAATAACTGTGTTACTGCATCTCAGCAAATTTGAATATCATCAGAATTTAATTCAAAAAGGTAAACTTTCATATAGTATACTATACTATAGTATACTATATTCATTACATGTAAAGTGAGATATCTGAATCCTTGATGAAGGCAAACAGCCTGTGGCCCTGTTGAGGTGTTACTGAAGCCCAGGCTGCTTCGATAGCAGCCTTCAGCTCGTTTGTATTTTTGAATCGGGTGTTTCTTATCTTCCTCTTGACAATGCCCCTTAGATTCTCTATGGGGTTCAGGTCAGGTGAGTTGGCTGGCCAATCAAGCACAGTAATATCATGGTCATAAAAATAATTTGGTAGCACTTTTGGCTCTGTGGGCAGGTGCTAAGTTCTGCTGGAAAAGGAAAGTAGAGGGAAGCATGAAGTGCTCTAAAATCCCCTAGCAGACAGCTGTGTTGACTTTGGACTTGATAAAACTTTCTGTTCTTCTTCACTTTTCCTTCAGAATCTATTTCCAAATTAAATGCAAAACTTACTGTCATCTGAAAAGAAAACTTTGGAACACTGATCAAAAGTCCAGCTTTTTTCTTCTTCGGCCAGATAAGACGCTATTGATGTCTCTGGTTCAGGATTGGCTCGATATTAAGAATGCACTGACACCAGCATTAGTCCACTCTGTGTGAAGTTCTCTAAAGTCCTTGAATTGACTTTTCTAGAAGATCCTCTCAGGGCTGTGTTCTTCTGACCAATTTACTTGAACTTAAAATGAATTATTCAAATATTTAAAGGTATATTTTTATTTTTTGTTTTCAGCTGTAGGCCATAACTATCAAAATTAAAATAGAAAAATGTTCAAAACACTTACTTTTCTGCGTAATGAGCCTCAAATATATTACATTTTTACTTTCTTAACTAATTGATGGAAAATTTGTACCTTTTTCCACAACATTCTAATGTGTTGAGTTGCATTAAATCATCAACTGCTCCATTCAGACAACTGTCATGAGAGTGACAACTTGGAGTGGAGCTGATATATAAAGAATAACTCTATGCATAGACCTGCAACGCCTCATGTTTACTAGTCATATATGCTCTTTCTACGGATCCAGTCTAATAGCTACAGTGATTCGTGTTGGTCTCTGAGTGCTGCCAAAGTGCAGTTGACCAACACTCAACACTATTCCTGACTGAATAATAGGTAGGGACTGAAGCTGTGGCTGTTTTGCTAACATGCTGCTCACGTTATACTTATAGTGTCAATATGGTGCAACTGTGAGACAAGGCTGTGTTTCTGTATGGAAGGTCCCAGGCAACAGCAAGCAGTGGTGCATTATATAAAATGTGACATTTTAATGGTGAAAATAAAATTTGGTGAGCATTTGCACATTTGACAGTAAAGAAGCACACAGGAGAAGAGGAGAAAAAGATATGACAGAGGACAAAGGCCATGAAAAAGTTGTCTTCTGATTTGATTACATACCTGTGGTAGCTGAGGGGACTGTCTCCCAATCAGGCTCCACTTTCCATCACGGATTCTGTAGCCACTGACTACTTTACCTGTGAAATAAACACTCATCCGGTCTATTACTGATATCGATCAACATCAATCTGAAACAAACATGAAATTCTCTGGTATGACTCACCAAGGCGGTGCGTATGGGTCCTGAAGGCAAACGGGTAGATGGGATATGAAGAGTAGTCACAGGCGATATCCGCATTTGTAACTAAGAAAGACAAACAAAGGATGATAGAGCAGCTGTTCCTAAATAACCCCTCACCTGCTCCTCTTATCATTTCATGCATTCCAATAAATCTGAGTGAACCCATACAGTTTGAACAAAAGTGTGCTATACATCAGTTGTGAGTATATTTGATCTTTTCTATTTTTTTTTCGTGGTAAAGTCTGTGTAACAAAATGTCAAGGAAGCAAATGTATTAGTGTCTAATGTTGACGAAAAGAAATATACCTACATAAAGTTCAACCTACACTGGCTACATCACGTACTGTGTCATAGTAGACTGAATATATGACAGTGACATGGTTTGGGAGGAATTAAATATCTTTGTGTTAAGTCTAAACTTAAAATACATCAAACATACCTTTTTTTCCCGGGAGAATAACTGTGTCCACTGACATGAGCAGGTATATGCCAGCAATGAATGGCTGCCTTTAAAGAGGGAACAAAGAAGAGTTTGAGGAAAGGAGGATTAAAAACTTGGAAATCCTCCTTCATATTTCTTCTTGTCAAGTTATCAATGTGTACACTGGTGCTCCAGAGGTGCAAGCAGCACATTTCAGACTATATATTATTTGTTTCGGGATTTACCCCAAATGTTGATTCTTTAAAGCAAATACTCACGGTTTAGTTGTCATTCTTAAGGAAAGTCCTGAGCAATCTTTATGATGGTCTGCAAAACAGAAAAGTAAAAGAAAGTTGCCAAATTTATCTTTTCCTCTGAATGAGCAGTAAAACAATGGCACTTCAGTCAAATTCTGCTTCCTCTGTATGTCTTCTTCTGATTTCTGCAGGGAAGTCTATCGTTGTTTTCGTGGTGACTGTACAACAGCAATATAGTTAAATGAAAGTGATATTAACAGGTGGTAAACAGAAAATAAGTCAGGCAATCATCATGGCACATGTAAAAAAAAAAAAAAGGAAAGTCAAAGGACATTTGAAGGAATAATAAATGACATAATAGCATAAATTACTGACCATTTCTTTTATTACTAATGTCTCTGATCACTCATTAAAACCCTAAAAACTCATCTCAATGTATCAAAATTACATACTTTTATTTTTTTCCCCATTCAAATAACCACATCCTGCATAAATGGCTCTGATGAAACGTTGCTTTCTCTAGAATGTGCAGATCTATGAAGTGTCTTCTACTTGCCGTTTCTCAAACAATGCAAAAGTACTCTACACTACCCAATGCCAAGTTGTACTAGAATGGGCAATTCCTAGAGAAATTGTGAGTGTGACTGCAAAAAGCTACTGCAAATGGTATTTGATTGAGCTTGTATTGTTCAACACATGTACAGTAAGAAGCTGGTTTTGAACCTGAATTCACAAGATGCTCATTATGTTTCATCATGTTTTCCTTTTCCTACACAGTCCATGATGCTGTTAAATGAAGGATCAATAGAGGATAGAGGCACTCAAAGACCACAAATGACCACAAGCTGCCACAGCAGTGTTTTAGTATTTTGATCTGACTGAGTCACATGAGATGAAACAAATCCGTCATTTGAGGGAGTGACACAAAATAAGACGACAAGTCAAACAAATTGTACACCCATATCTCCAAAACTAAATATTTTTAGCAAATGAAAAGTCACACATTAAAACATCATCTCAGGGAGTATTTTAAGTCTCTAATGGGGTCTATGAGTGTATCTGTGTCAGAGCAGTGGCTTTTAAAGCCATGCTATAGTATGTGGAATTAAACACTCCTGGATCTTTCCAGACCTTCAATGAATAAGATGAGTTTGATTGCAAAATTATCTCCAGGATTTTAAAATGTCCGTATTTTACTTTAGGCTAGGACTCACCTCTGAAAGCACCAACATCTCCATAATGAATCTGCAGCACAAAGTAGGACATTCCTGAGTTTCTTCCAACTTTAAAGCCAACATCTGACAATGAAACAGAAAAACAGCAGTTTAGGAAAGATATAAAACCACATTAGGATGAAACACCAGAGGAACAAATGATAGAAATATGTGCTACTGTACATTAAAACCTATTTTAAAATACTAACTTTGCTTTATTTAAAAAACAAAACAAAAAGTCCTTCTAAAAAAAGTAAGCATGAGGATCTACGGACTACATATTAAGGGGTAATGTTTCTGGAAATATAGAAATCTTTGAGTGTGTGTGTGCGTGTGTGCGTGTGTGTGTGTTTGTCCTTCGCTTTTCTCAACAGTGGTTCATCTGATCTACTTCTCACTTGGTGGGTGTATTGCTGGGGACCCAACAAAGTGCAGTGTTGAACGTAAAGTCGTTCAGATGACAAAAAAAAAACAAAAAAGGGCAAACATAGCCAGTAGGTGATGACTGTGGGCTTGAGGCTACTCAGCAACATAATGACGTCATTGGTTACAGTATTGGTTTGTTACACAAACGGTTGTGTTCACAATCCTCTCAAGTGTGGGAATATTTTAGACAGAGACCAACAATATGGAGGTCTGTAAGCACTGCAAACTGAAAGTGGTTGTTCACACAAGGACAACTGCTGCACAAGCACCTGAAGTGAAAGCATACCAAAGCCCTTTGGTAAGACTTTGGCAACAGGCAGCACTGTGCTGTCTACTGTTTGACACAGGCTGTCAGGCTTATCAACACGAAGAATGCATTCCGGTAGTAGTATCACTTCAGATTTGCTTTTTTAATTTGTCTGCTTCACTGCTGTTATGGTAGCATTACAACATATGTCACCTCACATTGTCATTCACCCGTTTGATATTTCATGTTTACTTTTTTGATCATGTATGAGTTACAAAATGATATAAACAAATGTTACAACCTATTGTGACAGTCCATATATTGTTTATTTCCCACCCTAATGCAAAAATACATTCTAACTAACTGCACATTAGCCCAGTGAGTCCTTGTCATTATCATTTTGAAGTTTCAGTCAAGCACTTTAGCAGAGACACTGATTATCCAGTTCAGGAAAATGGTTGCTTTGAAATACAGTCATTAAATCTGTCTGTGTCTTTGGAAATGTTTTTCTGATCAGGCATCTGAAAAATGAAGTCTGTTAACATTATTACCAGCATACCACACCTGAAAATTAGAGGATTAATTAAATATAGATTTTTTGTTATTTATCAAAAAAATTAAATAATCTTTATAATAAGTGATAATTATTAGAATTGATATCTGTTAAATTAATTGACTAATGAAAAAAAAACCCAATCATATCAATAAAAGAAAATGATTGTTAGATGCAGCCCTAGACTGCATGAACTCAGGGCAATGCAAAGAGCGCCAGTCTTGTTTATGCTTGTTGCTGTTTAAGTTGTCGGCAAGTTTAATGTAATGGGATGGTAACACTACACAGTCTGTGTCAAGTCAATAGTTGTTCTGAAGAGGGCTTGGTCACTGATATTGAGAAAGCTAGAAGCAGCAGTACTGGAGGCAGAGCAACCGGCTGCACTAGTATAACTCTATATGGAGTCTCTGATTGTGTGCATGTGTGTCAGTTGGTGTATCTGTTGTGTGCTTATGCCAACAACCGTTCATCTGAACTACTTCACACTTGGCAGATGTACTGCTGGGAACTGAAAGGAGTGCCATGTCGAGTATGAAGCAGTTTGGATAGGGGGTTCTCATGCTTTCGCTAAAAGTTGTTTTCTGTTACGAATTAACAACAGTATGTTTTAAATGATGTCCTCAGCCTTCGCCGTTGGGGACGTTGACAGCTAATTCAGTTTCTTAAGGTCAACTCGTGGAAAAACAACACGCAAACTTATTACCATGTAGTCATGCATAGGAAGTTGTTTTGGACGGCATCTTTAATGGCAGCCATCCGTCCTACTATTTTATCACCATGCTGGTTATGCCAGTTATGTATTATCATATGGTTATCAGTCCATTCCAAACCGCAACATTTTGAATGAGCGCTGCACTAGTTTTAAATAAACTCTTTATGTGGCTGAATACAACTAGAGGTCAGTGATTAAATATGACTTTATGCAATTGTGAACCAATTCCATTAGAGACATACCTTTGGGTAATTTAGTTGGGGGTGCATTCCGAGCCCAGGCATACATAATGGAGGCTACGTCCTCACAAGTGCCTTGTACACTGCCGCAATCCCTTGAGAAAGAAGCAACATAATCCATATCACTTTGTGTTGAATGAACAGATGGAACACACAGTAAATCACAATGGCAGACAAAGATCAACACAAACATCTGTCCCCACTTAAGCCATTTGCTGTGGTGGTATGACAGCACAAAAGCTATCCAAAAGTACAAGATCAAGGGTAACTAGGTTATCGGTCACATTCAGAGTAGTTCCACAGCCAGACTGGGTTTGTAGAGTAGCACAGCACAGGGGATGGTGATACAATAGATATTGTTGTAATAAATAGTTAAATCAGCTTTTAAACAGAATTTTGCGCTTTTGAAGGAAACCAGAATGGGCTGGAATCAACAACACACGATCGCTATACAAGTGCATAACAACAGGAGTGAGTCAGTATAAATACTATTACTATCATTTAGCAATAAAGACTTCCAGTCATCATCGTATATCTACACAGACTATATCAAAGACAGCTTGTGTTTTGTTATAATTAATTATGTTTCGAGCTATTATGTATTCTAAATCTGTATTTTTCCACTGAGTCTATAATTCTGTTTTGCATTTTTCTACTGAGCACAATAAACATCCTTGAAGATAACATGGCCAGTGAGAACTGGAGGACAGTCTAAACTCCCCTCTTCTATCAGTTGCTTTAGATACACGGCTTTTGAACCACACACACACACACACACACACTAACATTTTGTATTCGATCCAAGCAGTTTCTGTTTACATTTCAGTGAACTTCCACATGAACAGTGGTTAGCCTGTTCACGTCACAGTAACTGGCTAATTATACTCGGTTGCGCACAAGTCCAACCTCTGTGCAGGGCAGGACCAGGCCAAGAAGATAAATGTGAACCATTTCCGGATAACGGACCTCCTTCTGATAGAGCTCTCATGACAGCCCTGTCACTCGGAGCCCAGCGCTGCCTCACTTGTGACCTAAAAAAATTCTACATCTGAGAACTAAAGATTTCTCCGGTTTGTTCTTGGGCTTCCAACTAAAGAATCGGGTCTAACAGTTTACTGCTGGTGTTCAGGGCACAACTTTAAACAATCAAAAGCAACCTGCTCGTAGCTCCTATAGGATATGCTCGGGATAGGGCTGTGATCATAGTGGGGATATCAATAACACTGCAAACTCTTGACCTGGCTATGTAAAGTGCCCTAGTAGGTTATGATTTGTTGCTGTATAAATACAATTTCAATGAATTAATTTAAATAGAATAAACAGGTAATGGTGATGGAACAGTCATTGTAACACAACCCTTGATTTGAGTTGTGCTGCTCTTCACACTTTGCCCTTATATGAATAGACCAGAATTTGAATAATGACCAAACCTTAAAAAATTGTTTTCCATGTGCGTCCTATACATTTTCATTTTTTAACCATAAAACTCCAAAACTCTGTACTTACTTGTGTCTTTACAAAGTATACAGTTGAAACCAGAAGTTTATATACACTGTATAAAAAGACACATAACCTTGTTTTTTCTCACTGTCTGACATTAAATCAGACTGAACTTTTCCAGTTAGAATTACCAGAATTATTTCTATTTGCTAAACACCAGAATAATGAGACAGAGAATTATGTACTACTTTCTTCAAAGTCAGAAGTTTACATTCATTTCCTCAGTATTTGGGAGCATTGCTTTTAAACTATATGACTTGGGTCAAACGTTTTGGGTTTCCCTCCACAAGCTTCTCACAATAGTTTGATGAATTCTGGCCCATTCCTCCTGACAGAACTGGTGGAACTGAGTCAGGTTTGTTGGCTGCCTTGCTCACACACGTCTTTTCAGCTCTGTCCACAAATTTTTTACAGGATATGGTTGAGGGCTTTGCGATGGCCACTCCACAACATTGACTTTGTTGTCCTGAAGCTTCTTTGTAACTAATCTGGTGGTATGCTTAGGGTCATTGTCCATTTGGACGACCCATTTGCGCCAAAGCTTTAACTTCCTGGATGATGTCTTGAGATGTTGCTCCAATATTTCCACATAATGTTCTTTCCTCATGATGCATCTATTTTGTGAAGTGCACCAGTACCTCCTGCAACAAAACACCCCCACAACATGATGCTGCCACCCCCGTACTTCACAGTTGGGATGGTGTTCTCAGGCTTGCAAGCTTCCCCCTTTTTTCTCCAAATGTAATAATGGTCATTATGGCCAAACAGTTCAACTTTAGTTTCATCAGACCACAGGACATGTCTGCAGAAATTAAGGTCTTTGTCCTTGTGTGCATTTGCAAACTGTAATCTGGCTTTTTTATGTTTCTTTTGGAGTAATGGCTTCTTCCTCTCTGAGTATCCTTTCAGCCGGTACAGGACTCGTTTCACTGTGGATAATGACACACTGACCAGCTTCAGCAGCATCTTCACGAGGTCTTTTACTTTTGTTCTTGGGTTGATACGCACATTTCAACCAAAACACTTAATCTCTGGGACACAGCACCCGTCTCCTTCCTGAGCGCTATGATGGCTGGACATTCCCATGGTGTTTATACTTGCATATAATTGTTTGAACAGATGAATGTGGAACCTTCAGGCATCTGGAAATTGTTCCCAAGGATGACCCAGACTTGTGGAGGTCCACAATTCTCTTCATGATATCTTGGCTGATTTCTGTTGATTTTCCCATGTAGTCACTAAAGGAAGCAGTGTGTCTGAGGTGCGCCTTAAAATACATCCACAGGTGTTCCTCCAATTAACTCAAATGTTGTCAATTAACCAATCAAAAGCTTCCAAAGCCATGACATCATCATCTGGGCTTTACCTAATAGTTTGAAGGCATAGTAATCTCAGTGTATGTAAACTTCTGACTATGAAGAAAGTATTAGAATATTCTCAAAACAATTCTCTTTCTCATTATTCTGGTGTTTGGCAAATAGAAATAATTGTGGAAATTCTGACTGACCTAAAACAGGAAAAGTTTAGTCTGATTTAATGTCAGACAGTGAGCAAAAAAAAGATTTTATGTCTTTTTATACAGTGTATGTAAACTTCTGGTTTCAACTGTACATACTATACCTGATTAAAAAAACACTTTATTTTTGTATATTTAAAGTTGGGTATTACCAGAAGCTTTTGGTGGACACAGGGGTCTGGCAGCCAAACAACAGCATGTGATGAACTGTGTCCATACTGGCATGTGGTATGAAGTCCACTGAGGAGGAAAAGCACTGTGGTTAAAAAAAAGCAAAATTCTCTTTGGCTCCACAAACAAATCCTGGCCTGCGCCATGTGGCCCATGGTCCGATAACAGCAAAGTTCACGGGGAATTAAACACATTTTACAGCCTTTAAGCGTGTAAACAGACCAGCGCGTTGACAAACAATGTCATAATCGGACTAGTGAAAGGGAGACAATGTTTAATACAGGTGCATCTCATATAATTAGAATATGGTGGGAAAAGTTCAAGATTTTTCATCAGACATTGTGAAAAGTGAAAGTTATACACATTCTAGACTCATTATACATAAACTGAAATATGCCTATCCTTAATTTGTTTTCACTTTGATGATACAGCTTACAGCTCGTGAAACGCCCCTAAAATAAATTTCAAAATATTACAATACTTCAAAAGATCAACAAAGATAAATTTTAAAAAGGATATTAAAAAAAATGCAGAAATATCAAAACTCTGAAAAGTATGTTCATGTATGCTCTGTCAACAGTTTGTCAGGGCTCCCTTTGATCGAATTACTGCAACAATGCAGCGTGGCATGAAGGCAAACAGCCTGTGTAGACTGACGGCTCCGTTTGACTGCAGGGCATGAAAACTGACGGTCAAGCGCAAGAAACAAGCACAGACGGAAGGGACGGAGAGACGAGACAGTCATTTTTCAAAATAAAACACCCTGCAGATTCCGCTGGAAATAAAAATAAAACAATAAAACGTTTTTATTCTTTCTGTGCGGCCCGGAACCAAATGACCCTCAGTCCGGTACCGGTCCACAGCCCAGTGGTTGGGGACCACTGCTGTAGAGCACCAGTCAGGGATTTCAATTTTACTATGGATGCTTTACCTTGTGATTTTGTACCATTAAATGCGCAATTACCACTTTACAAATAGAACATTCATGCACAGTACGGGTAAGGGCGACTTAGTCTATGTGGCAATTGTTGGTCTTCTAAATTAGCGTTTAAAGTAGTATCAAATAGGTGGAAGTCGATAAAAGTCACGTCTATTCACTAATAAAAACGATGTGTCGGCTACAACATTTGTTAAGCACTGTATAAACATCTCAAGACAATTTGTTAAAATACAGGTAATGCACCTTGAAAAAAAAAAAACATGTATCTAGGATGTCTTCAAAAAAAGTGATTCACTGTCTTTACATTAATATCATCCGTATTCTATACATTGCTTTATCCTCTGTGGGGTCATGTGGGAGCTGGAGTCTATCCCAGGCTGAGATTCAAAACCAGGACCTTCGAGCTGTAAGACGACAGTGCGAACCACCGCGTCACCGTGTCGTCCTTTACGTTAACATGATCTCAGTTAGTAATTATGAAATAAAATTTGAAAATGTATTTTAGGTTATAGAAGTACAATTGAAGAAAAAACAAAATGGCTCCAGTTAACAACACATGGATAGCATAAGAAAAAGGTCGATTTTGTCAACTCATCTATGCTGTCAGGTTTTGTGTCTGACACACAGATACAGGTACAGCTCACAAAATTAGAATATTAGGTAAAAAAACACTAATGGACTATGTAAAGACAAGTTTTTATTAGTGCAGCTATAATTGCTACCATGACGTCTGCTGCTGCTACCTTTACTCCCTTCTCCCTGCCACTTTTACTTAGACATCTTATCCAGCAGCTTGCAGCTGACCAACATCAGCCCACAGAAAAACGTAATATCAAGTCTGTGCACATTCCAATGACTGCTGTCATGAACTAAAACTATTTTACAGAAGACACACTCACCAATATATGCATCTCGACTAGTTGGAACAGGATATGCCATGCAAAGGTAAGTGTCCGACTGAAACATTAAACAACACAATGATGAGATTAATTACCGAATAATACAGATTAGTCATCATACAGTGCTTCCTCTGCAGAATCCACTTGATTAGTTGGGTCTTGCTCTGCTAGAGGATGTCTTTTTTTTTCCTTCGTCTAACAGGTTTCCAAATCTAACTGTGATGTATCAGAGAAACAGACTCACCCCAGTCGGGGTAACACCCGGCATCCTTAAATCCACAGAGAAGTTGTGAAAGTTTGTAAAGACCGGCTGCTGCCTGGTTCTGGATAAACAGTCGCTGGGATTCAAGATAGCTTCCTGAGACCTTAGGGAGTAACACAAAAACCTTGTTATAACATCTGATATAGATATAGAAATAGACACTCAGCTACTGACAGTAGATAACAATTTGTACTGGACTCATATGTCTTGCTATGTTTCATCACAACAACCAATACACCACTCATATACAGTCACTTCAGAACCTATTCAGACCACTTCCCTTTTTTGCTCACTTTATTGTGTTGTAGATTTAATTTTAACTGGCTAAAAATGGGCTTTTCCCCATCAATCTATATATTTTAACCTTTAATGATGAAGTGAAAACATGTTTTTAGAACTGTTAGTAAATTCATTAAAATTCTCTTATTTATAAAAAAAATAGTCATATCCATACTGTGGCCCCGGTCAGATGCATCCTGTTCCCGTTAAAAATCCTTGTTATGCATCTAGAACCTGACTAGAGTCTATCTGTAGTGAGGTAAGTTGACTGGGAATTGTCTCAATTAATACGGAGGGCTTCGGAAAAGAAGCATAGAATGGTGAGCACAGGTCTGCAAAATTAAATGAAAATCAATCATTTTTGACTTTCCACAATTATATCAACATGATTGCAGAATTTACATTTGAATGTGGTCTGCTTGTAGAAAATCCAGCACTTAGAAAGTAGCCCATGTGCACAGCAACCTTTGATTTTAATTAAATTTTGATGTGATATTTAAATGCCTTTTGTCACTCTATTCAAAGTAATTTCTGGTCACAAACCTGCCTGAGTGAACTGCAGCGGCCTAGCAACATCTACTGCACATCAGACGTTTAGCAAAAAATGGTAAATTGTAGTGTCTATCGATAAGCAGATGTTCAGCAAGTGAAAAGTTTAGCTCGTGCCCAGTTTATGGGTGTGATATCAAACAACCTCGAGGTAAAGACCCTTGACAAAAAAAGTCTATTTTTTCAGATTAAATATTTTGTATATATCAAGTCACTGTCAATCTTTTAATCAATGCAAAACTAGGGTATGCAAATTATTCATCACAATGGAGGGTCAATTAACATCATGCTCTACCAAGAACAGGGGGTGAGGAGGTGTGATCAAACTATGTGGTGCTACCAATGAAAAAGTTAGCCTGGAGCCCTGAATGTATCACCAGTGTATTTTATTCAAGACAAAAAAAAGAGCTTTTCTTCTTACCGTGTAGATCCGTACAGGGAGGGTTGTATTTCCAGGCTGTCGCTGTGACAGAAGAATGCTAGCACCACTACACAGAACACAGGGATCCTCATCATGCCTGGTTATTACAGCGTAATTAGCTGCTGGGCTGCCAAAGTGAAAGAGAGGCTGTTAGCACTACATTTTTACTATATATAATTGGTAAATAAAGTGCACAGTAGAGTGGCTGTCACACCTGTTGTTTCCTCTGAGCTTGGTTGAGAAGTAAAGATGCCAGGGAAGATGTAAGTATATCCCAGTAGAGGCGTCACTCCTTCAGCATGTTGGATTGTCATTTACCCCTGGTTCCTGCTTCAAAGGTCTCTCTGGAGACACCGCCTGAAAAAAAGCATATGTGTTAACTGACTGTCAAAGTGATGTGACAAGAAACACAGATGCAGAGCAGAGATTAGACACATCGTAACACAGTCAGCACATTTTACTTCTCTATTTACATGTGATGAAGAAAGTCATTCTCTTTTATCTTGATGGTCACCAGACTCTTTGATTCCACCAGCCCTCCTAACAATGTAACAGCAGTTAGGTCTGCACCATGAACAGTGCAGCATGGACACAGTGAACATTATACAAGCATAAAAATACAGCTGAATTAACTGCACAGCAGGAGTCTTCAACTTTTGTCACACCACATCATTTGACAAAATTAGGATTTTGGCAGTGCAGAGCAGCAGGTTTGCAGTGACTGCTGGTTAACATGAAGTTTTAATGAGCCGCCCTTCATTCACTATTTCACACTTGTTCTGCTGTCAGTAAAAACAGAAAAATATGTAAATTACAAAAGAATTTTGGGAATTCAGCTATATTAAAATACAGTACATGTGAGAACAGAGAGGACAGAAACAAACAGATGTAATACCTCCGTATTTATGCAATTTTGTTATATCTGAAAATACATAGAAAAAGTAATTACTGGACTTAACTCCAGTTATAGCATGTTATAGTATGGACAAACTCAGAAACAGAGCAACTTACTGAATGAGAAACCATGTCTCTGATTTATATGTCTCTGAGCATAAGCCATGGTCTTACAATTGTTACAGATTGCATCAGATTTTTCCATATTTCCAGACAACCTGTAATTAGTCTATGAAAGAACCAAAATGCATGACTGTGTGGGAAAAAAGGCATCATTTCATCATAGAAAATTCAGAGTTATAAAAGTGACTGGTAAGGACTGCCATGACAGACATGGTTGTACTAGTGTATGTAAACCTTTGTTAACAACTGTACTTTTAAATAGGGATGAGAATCACAGGGTACCTCACGATACGATACGATATGATACGCAATACATGGCTCACGATACCAATACTATCACGATACTGCGATAATCGATGTATTGCAGGACATCACATAACGATACATCCCGATATCTGTAACTGAAAAATACAAAATAGCTGTAAAAAGGTTAAGTTCATTATTTATTTATTTATTTGCTGCAAGTTGGTGTCACGTTCACTGGATTTGACACAGATTTGGATAAACCACTTAACAAAAACTGCCTACAGTCTTGCCATAGGCCTCTTTTACAAACACACTGACTGCAACTTACCACCAATGCCCACATGTGCCATCACATTTCTTTATAAAAGGCAAATTTAAAAAAAAAAAAGAAAAAGAAAAAGAAAAAAAAAGAAGGTGCATTAGTGCATAACCAGCTAGTGTATGTAAGATGCCTCTCTATTTTGGATGAGATGGCTCACTTGGTCTGCATTGAACATCTTTTGTCGGCATCTGTATGGTGTCTGTGGGCTCTACCACACTGACGGCTACGTAAGTAAAATAATTCTTCCTTCCACCTTGTCTGTGTCCCTTATCAACAAGCTGTGGCGATTTGGACTTACAGCCATGACTTGGGGTTGTGAAAGCTGCTGCAGAGGAAAAGAGGGCACGCCCACTCTGTCTGCAGGGAGTAGAAGCAGAGCTGCAAACACACACACACACACACACACTGCCCCACTATTGCACATTATCATTATTGATCAGAAGTGTTGCTCTTAGAAAACGCTGCAGATCAATGAAAGTGCCAATATTATTAAAACACAGTGCGTTTTTAACTGCAAAGTATTACGACACTTTTCTTGTGTCGATATACAGTGCAAAGCCGGTGGCCTCAATACAGAACACACTGCTGATAATCTGTAGGTCTTTACAAAGAAAACTAAAAAGGAATGGAAGTTTCAGATCTCATGAATGGCACACACACACAGACAATGCTAACAGCATTGAAAAAGCTCTAAAACATGACTACACATGGATCCAGGGTTTTGGCCACACTTCATACAGTTGACAAAGCCATCAGAATGGACAGAGTATCTGTAACACTGCAGGCTTCGTTAAACCAAATCTGCCATTACCAGATTACCAAACCTTTCATGTCACCGTATACTTGAACATGAACTCATACATGAGGAACCCACTTATTTGAATGCTTCACACAATTATGGTGGAAATATTCTAACAGCAGCAGTAGAAAGCTGTGTGTGCAGTTCTGGCAGAGGACACAAATCAAGCTTTCGGCCTTCAGACTAGATGCTATGTTTGGCTAACACCAAACACTGCAGATAAACACAAACACATCCACGCCATGAGCCTTGAACCGTGTTGCTTTAAAGACAACAAGTTGTGGAGTGGACGAGTCAGAGCCCAGACCTCAATCTAATTTAGAATTTGTAGCTGGAATTGAAAAAAGGTTGTTCATTCACAATCCCCATGCCATCTGACAGCTTGAGCAGTTGTGAAAAGACTGGGGTAAAACTGCAGTGTCCAGATGTGCAAGGCCGACTGAGACCTACCTTCACAGGTTCAATGCTGTAACTTGGTAAGTGGTGAATCTACTACTGATATGATGAATCTAATACTGACTTGAAAGGGGTGAATACCTTTGCACTTAGTTCAGGTTTTATATTTATAATTAAGAGACATTACTGTTTAGTAATCGGTTTCACTTTTACATTAAAATGTAAATTCTTCGTCAATTCTTGTCAAAAAAGTATGCAATCATGATCCAATGTTGAAAAGTAATAAATGGTACAAACTTCCAAGGGGGGTTAGAACTATTTATAGGCACACAACATTACTTCAGTTGTCTGAGTTTGCCTACAAGTACCTGGATGTTGCTGCATTCAGCTGTGCTTCTGAACGAGCATTCACCACCTCACAGATTATTGTTGACACAAGACAGCCAAGACTAACACGACATTAACAGAGAACACCGACATCTTAGTCATGTTCCTTTCCAAAAACCCTAAATTGGTGAAGAAATTGAAAGTCGCAATGATCAAGTAATTTAAGACACTAGGATCTCCAAAATTGTGGGGCATAATCACACTATTGCATTCAGCACAGTTTTTTTAATACCAAGACTGGGTAAAATAAATAAATAAACACTCTAGGGCTTACTTATTAAAAGAATAAGCTCCAACTATACCGGACATCTGAATGGGAGATGATAGTTGTTTGAAATTGTGAATACTTCCTGTGCAGTGGCAGGATGGGAACATGGACATAAGCATCCTTCAGATCAGTGAAGGTCATCCCATTGCCTGGCTGGACACATTCCAGTAATTGTTTGACTGTAGCGTGCAACAACAACAACAACACTGTGCAATTTGTCTGTTCACTGTGTGCAAGTATGTTTCCTGAGTTTCCTGAGAACTAGGAAATGTAGGGAGGAAAATGCCCTTCTGGGCCTGCAACTAAAAGATCGTCATTAATGCTTCTTATCTCAGGGGTGACTTTATTTCTTCATCCACCACCGGTTCCTGTTTAGCATTGGGCTGAGCAGTGTACAGTGAAAACATGCACACAGCTTTCGCAACATCTTGTTGCAACACCATACAGCACACACAGATATTGCTCTTAGAAACAATAACAGAAACAACAAAAGGTTCTGAAGAGTGGCTACTCTTCACTAGAGCCAACGCTGACAATGATGGTTACCACAAGTGCGATAAGTGTTTACCATGTAAGCATGAAAATACAACCAGTCTATCAAAACATCCAACCACAGTTCATCATATACAAGTAGAGAAAAATAGTTTTCAACTGCCCAGCTCTGAGGGCATTTTTCACTGTCCTAGCTGTTATCAATGCAAGCAGTCCAGCCCACAAATGGATTTCAGTTGCATAAGCACAGGCTACCTATTAAAGCCATTAGCCAGATGATTGTTTGCCTATGACTGTGTTCATAAATTCAGTCTGAAATGTCAGAGCATCATCTTTCAGTGAGAAATTCCATTTCAACGCGCTCAAAGCAAAGCACATGTAGTGATTTGGGGTTCTTGCTGGCTTTCCACATTGATTGTTTACTTTATCAAAACTTAATAATGCACAGTAAAACTACAGTGAAAGAAAAAGTCCTCTAATGGTTTATGTAACGTTAAAAGTGGAAGAGAGGAAACAGAAAGTAAAGCAATGTTAATTCTGTTCATCGTTTGTGTTTTTTGCACATAGCACAAACAACCGATTACAGTGATGCTTAGGTACCGGATGTCGATGCTAATCAAGAGCAGCTCTATTGCCAATGCTGCAGGACTCTAATTACACATCTTTCAACAACATTAAAACTAAAGTGACTAACTGCATCACTGATACTCCCTTGTTTTTAGCATAAACACATTCAAGCAGTGGCAGTAGATACAGAAAGACATCCTAGACTGTAAAGTAGGTGCAACAGCATTTGTGGACATCTGTTCCAGAGGAGCAGCTGTTTCCAGGAGTTGGTCTAAATATAACTACAATGAACAAGTTCTTCTATCACGATCCTTCCATGCCTGCAGCAGAATGTTACAGATGTTTCACCTGTCTGTTGTCACAAGTGTAATTTTCTTCGTAGCCATCTATTAGGTCCAGAAGAATCAGAACCAATGACACTAAGGAACTGGCTGGCTCAGAGGCTTCTTCAAGTCTGCCACAGAAAGTCATTACACTCCCCCACTGCAAACATGCTGCACAATGACTACCCACAGTCTGTATTTATTTGCACTGTAACAGTTCTATCATATCTTATTCTACATATTTTTATCTTTTACAGTAGAAGTTAATGCGCATGTGTATATATTTTTTAAAATAATGATTTTCTTTTTGTGCTTCATGTCAGCTCAAAGTTACTATCGATCTATTTAAACGTACATAATGACCCTACATAAACCTGGAATCTGTCAGATATGTAGAATGCAAAACATTATTCAACATCAGAACCTGCACCAATGAAGCTACCACTGTTGTGCCATGTACGTAAATGTCCAGATCACTCTCAATTTAAAGAAACACATATTTCTTTTGCTGTGGGATGTGGCAGGCATGCATGAAATTCA